AAACACGGGAAATTAAAATCTCATCAGAGTACAAAAAAAATTTCGGGCCCCAAAAAATAAGCAAAACCCCAAACTCAAAGACCTGGGTGATCATGCGGAGGTTCCCCCTTCAAGGACCAAAACATTGTATCAACGCATCCTAGAAAAATGACAGGATGGATAAGGAAAACCCTTAAAAAACTGGGGAGGCCAAGCCCTGATGCACGTTCGGGTCACTTGTTCTATCTGGGCTGAAATTCTGCACACTACAGCCCCTTTTCAAGGGCGGGGAAAATTGCTGACCTAAAAATGTACAGAAAACCCTTTAAAACGGCCGCATAACGGAGAAAAACACCTAAATTCGGGGACGTTGAGGTTCCTGAACCTGCATTCCCGGGAAACCCGGGCGGAGAGATACAAGATTAATACCCCAGTAAAAGTGGCCTTGACAAAGGATTGTGTGTCACTGTGGTTTTTTAATATTTTTTATAATGGGGTTGAAAGAAAGAAAATCGAGGGTTTTGGCAAGGGCGGGAGTTAAAGATAAAGAATCACACACAAGGGGAGTTGCACAGCTCTCTTTGCTGATGACACTGGCCTTGGGATTCTGAAGAAATTTGCAGGATTGGGGATAAATTTGGTGGGGTGTGAAAAGAAAAAAATTAAAGGGAAACAGGGAAAGGAAGGTTATGAGGATAACAAAATATTAGGTATGAAAATTGGTATCAATTGGGGGGAAGATGGGGGAGGGGGAATTTTTTTAGAATTTGGGGATGGACGTGTCATGGATGGGGCATGAAAAAGAGGGAAACATAGAATTATTTAGGGGGAAAAAAGTGGTGGTGCACTTTGGAGTTGTGGAACAAAAAAATTTTTCCTTGGGGGCAAAAGGGGGAATTATGGGGAAATAAATTTTACCAACGCTCTTTTGGGTGTGAAGCATGGGTGATGAATGTTTCAGCGAGGAAAGGGTGGAGCAGTGGGGAGTCAGTCTGAGAGCAATATGTGGGGGAAATAAAGCAGGAATTGTATTTTGGGAAGTTAGGAGGGTGCGGGGTTACCAAAAGTTTCCAAGGGCTGAGGAAGGGTTTTTGAGGTGGGTTTGGGCATGTAAGAGAAGGAGGAAACAGAAAGCTTCAAGAGTGTATCAGTCTGTATGGAAGGGAAAGGGGGGGTAGGGGGCGGGCCCAGGAAAAGGGTGGAGGAGGGGGAAATGAGGTTTTGTGTGTAGGGCTTGACTTCCACAGGCATGCATCGTTTTTTTGATAAATGAAGGAGGGAAATGGTTTTTAATACTTGACGTTTCTGTTGGGTGGAGCAAAAATAACTTTATGAAGGGGGTTTAGGGAAACCGGCCCGGGCTTAGTCCCGGAGATGGGGAATACATGCCTGCACTCTGAAGGGGGGGTTTTAAGTTGCAGTTTAAAAATGTATGTAAAGCACCCTTCGGCAAGACAGTGATGGGGTTTTTGGTGGGAAATTTTTCTTTTTTGGCCACCCCGCCTTGGTGGGGAACACCAGTTTAAAAAAAAAAAAAAAAAATACACCTGGAAAATCCTAGAGGGGTAGTCCGAACTTTACACAAAATCACTCACACAAAAACAAAGGACTTGGGAACAAAGCACCACCCCCAAGAAAAGAGGGGTGTCATAGCTGTAACCCTTTGAGGGGTTTTGTCGTCTAGTATCTTAGCGTAGGGGTTTTTGACGTACTGTACTCATAAATTCTAGCGGCCCCCAAATCAGTGGGGGAAAGCTGGTAGGCCTTCTATGAAGAATGGGTCTATGTGGTCGTGCACATCCCCAAAAAAAAAACCCGCAGCACACAGTGCAAAATGAAAAAAAAAAACTTTGCCATTTTTTTTTTTAATAAATCCGACTTTGCAGTGATTTAATGGGATTAATTTTTGTATTTAGTTTTCTTGGTCTCTTTTAAAAAATGGGGAAAAATTTAAGAAATTGGGGAAAGATTTGACTGGTTTTAAAAGAAAGGTGCCTTTAAATTGAGCTCAAAGTAGCGAAATGTTTGATTTTTACCAAACTTTAAAAATAAACAAAAACGTGCCAACGGCATACACGTCAAGTGGGGAGTTAATATTCTTTCACAAGTGCACCAATAAATTTAACCATTTTTTAACTAAGCAGTTCTCATAACAAAATCATATTTTTTGTGAAAAAAAAATTCAAAGTGGAACAAAAGAAAAAAGGGGCCCCTTGGGAAAGAAATGACAAGGAAATGTCATTTTATGCCAGGGAAAGTCTTCTTTTTTATTTTGGACCCTATTCGGAAATTGGGATCTTTTGAAATTTTGTGAAAATTTGGGAAAATTGCTAAATTCTGCCACTGTACTGGAAGTTGAATTTCATAAATGAGTGGTTTTTTTCCCCATTCGATAGAAAAAAATGGATTCTACGAAATATTCAGTTTTTTGTCGACTAGTACAGTGAAAATTTGGGCCCAAAATGGGGGTCAAAGTGGGGAAATCGGATGCGTAACACGCCCAAAACCCTAACTTTGCGAGGCATAATTTTTAATTTTTTTATCAAATTTCAAACTTTTGGGTCTTTTGATCGGGAAAAAATTCTCTATCTTTTCATAAGAGAAAATAATTTTTTTTTTTAAATTTGGCCCACCCCGAGAACGGTTCGGAGAGGGTGTCACCCTCAAAGGTTAAGGACCATACAATAAGTTGGGGCCCCAGACTGTTCAACTGCCCCCCAGATACTAAAAGGGGGTTCCCAAAAAACCCCTGGCGTCTTCAAGTGGCATGGCCCCCACCTAAAGTCGGTTTCTGACCCGCCGGGGTGGCCGTACGTTGGTTTGCGTGCAGCCAGCAGCAACATTGGTTATCAGGCTCTGATCACCCGGAAGCCCGGGCCCGACCCGGCCGGGGGGTTTGACCCCCCCAAATCCCTCCAGGTAAACTCCCGGTAATGAGAAAAACTATAGTTTTTCATACAGAAAAAAAGAGAAATAAATATAAAAAGACTAATTTTTAAAGATAAAAAGAACATTTGAACCTTTTTTGAAGACTTTTGTTTGCTCTTTTCCCCGTGGTTTCCCCCCAACTCTTCCACACCCCGGCATCATACCCAACCCCCTACCTATGGCTCATACACGAGGCCCACAGCATTTATTCCATTGCATAAAAATTCACCGAATTAAACGTTTCTAACAATTCCTTTACAGCCGTCATAAACAAAGGGAGAAATAATGAATAAATTATGCCAAAAATTGTAAAAAAAAGCTTTTTTTAATTGGGAAGCCAACCTATCCGAGAGTTGGGTTGTTAAATGACTCATTTTTGGCGGGTTCTGGTTTCCCCCGGTTACTTCCATTCTCGGTTGTCCCCCCAGTCCCACCGGCAAGCTTGAGGACAGGTCTAACTACATAAACCTCTCCTCGCTACCCTGTGTTTGGAGAAGTGCCAATCCTCTTTCAGAGATTGGTTACTTTTTTTGCATATACATAATTTTTTTCCCCGGGATAGACTTGCCGGGAATTGGAGCCCCCCCCAAATTTAGAAAGGACCCCACCTGAGCGTAAAGTGATTTTATTTTATAGACAGAGATTTTCAATTTCATAATTTAAACATTAAAATTTCTTATATTTTAAGGGCCCCAAACTATTTAAAAGTAATGTACTCTTTTTCGTAATTTTTTTAATGAAGTTTAATATTTTATTAAAACTAAAATAAAAGTGTAACCTTGTTTGATTCCCCCAGTTTTTGAAGATTGAGAAATTGAATATCAAGGAAATTTGGGTTTTTTAAAAAATATACAAAAAAGGAGATCCCCCCCTGTTGAGGAGAAAGAACGTAACCCCGGGGTAAACAAAAATTTTTTTAAAAAAAAGCTCCCATTCGAATACAGCAACGGTATTTGCATAATATACATTGAAAACCCCCCTTTCTTTTACCCTTCCCGCTCATTTTGTTTTTCACAAACCTATTACGTCCTTATCCCTAGTGTACTGGCTTTTCAAAACTCCCCCGTTTGCTTATTACTAGTTCCCCCCAGAACTCATAAAATTTTCTACAGGGGCTTCACTGTTTTCCCGCCAAAACCCCCTACCCCTAACTATTCCTATTTAAAGCCTAAAGCCCCCCCTGCTTGCCCCCCCCCCCAAACCAATAAGGAACCCCATCCCTGGCATACAGTCATTTTGCCATAAAGAGGTCCCAGTTGTCAATGAATGTTACCGCATTTTCTTTACAGTATTTGTCCAGCCAGCAATTGACACCAATTGCCCTGGACAACCATTCATTTCCAACTCCTCTCCTTGGCAAAATACCACATATGACAGGGTTCCCACCAGGCCCGCTGGCCTGGTGGCTAAGGCTCCCGCTTCACACTCGGAGGGCCCGGGTTCGATTCCCGGCGGGTGGAAACATTTCGACGTTTCCTTACACCTGTTGTCCTGTTCACCTTGTAGCAAATAGGTACCTGGTTGTTAGTCAACTGGTGTGGGTCGCATCCTGGGGGACAAGATTAAGGACCCCAATGGAAATAAGTTAGACAGTCCTCGATGACGCACTGACTTTCTTGGGTTATCCTGGGTGGCTAACCCTCCGGGGTTAAAAATCCGAACAAAATCATATCTCTTATCTTATCTCCTCCTAATTATTTCTATTACTGACCTATACCTGCTAATCAGGTCCTCACTCCTACATCTGCCAACATCGTTGCCTCCAGCACTGAGACAGATAATAGGATAATAGTATGGGCCAGTAAGCATGCTGCAGTGTTCCTCCATTCTTATCTTCTTACAGGTGGATGATGATGACTGGTTGATCTTTCAGGTGGATGATGATGACTGGTTGATCTTACAAGTGGATGATGATGACTGGTTGATCTTACAGGTGGATGATGATGACTGGTTGATCTTACAGGTGATGGATGATGACCCTAGTTGATCTTTCAGGTGGATGATGATGACTGGTTGATCTTACTGATGACCCTGGTTGATCTTACAGGTGGATGATGATGACTGGTTGATTTTATGGGTGAATGATGATGATCCTGGTTGATCTTACAGGTGATGGATGAGTTTCAAGAGAGTGTGGACATGAGCACCTACCTGGTTGCTTTCGTGGTGTGTGACTACCAGGTCTTGAGCAACCTGACAGCTCACCAGGTCAACCTGTCAGTCTACACTCCACCAAACATGGTTGACCAGGCCTCCTATGCTCTCCGGGTGGCCTCCATCATCCTAGACTACTACCATACTTTCTTTGGCCTCTCCTACCCTCTACCCAAGCTTGGTAAGCTTCCTTATGCCTCCTGTTAATACTAAGTAAGATATTGACTGAGTGATGGGTATGTGTTTCTTCTAGCATTTGTTAGTTAGTACTAAGTAAGATATTGACTGAGTGATGGTTAATGTGTTTCTTCTTGGTTACTCCACCTCAGTACAGCCTTTCCTCACTTAACTACGGGGTTCCGTTCCTAAGAGCAGGTTGGTAATTGAATTGGTCATTCAACGAGGAGCATACTGTACTCGACCATCTTTAAATATTTTTTTAATGTCACCTTTGCACCATTTATAACATTTCTGGTATATTTTTAAATGTTTATACAGTGCCTCTGCAAATACAGTGATTATGTATGAGTGAGGTGAAAGTGTTGAATGATGATGAAAGTATTTTCTTTTTGGGGATTTTCTTTCTTTTTGGGTCACCCTGCCTCGGTGGAAGATGGCCGACTTGTTGAAAAAAAAAATTATTTAGGTTTGCATACTGGTTGGAGAGCTGGTTGTAAGTCCGAGTGGTCGGTAAACGAGTACGTCCCTAAGTGAGGAGAGGCTGTACTTAACTACTGCTAATTTCCAGATTTAATTGCCATCCCGGATTTTGGTGCCGGTGCCATGGAGAACTGGGGTCTGGTGACGTACAGGGAGACAGCACTCATGTTTGACAAAAGGCACTCGTCATCACGGGCACAGCAGACTGTTGCTGTGGTCATAGCGCATGAACTGGCTCACCAGTGGTTTGGTAACCTGGTTACCATGTCATGGTTAGTACATTGTTAGTGTTACACCTGGAGTATACTTGGAGGTTGTTTCAGGGGTCAACGCCCATGACCAAGCTCCATGGTGGATCAGGGCTTGATCAACCAGGCTGTTACTACTGGCCACTCGCAATCTGATCTATGAACCACAGCCCGGCTGGTCAGGTACTGACTTTAGGTATCTGTCCAGCTCCTTCTTGAAGACAGCCAGGGGTCTATTGGTAATCTCTGTTGTGTATGCTGGAATGCTGTTCACTTATTGTGTTATCTCTTAGTGTAAAAAAATGTAAAAAAAAAAAAAATAACACTGAACAGGTGGAGTTTAAACCCATGGTGAGTGAGTGGTAAAACTCAGTCAGTGTGTTAACCACTGGACCAGATGGTTCTAATAAGATTCATCCAACTAGATATTTTTCTATACACCATAGGGAGGTTAACATGGGTCCCACACTGTGACCCATGTTTGTACAGATGAATCTCCCACCAGTGTGTGAGTCACTCTTAGTGTACTTACAACACTCCTGCTTTTCATTTTGGGGATGTTGTGCCATCTATCAAGTTTTTGCATTTGTAGGGAGTGATTTTCAAGTGCAGATTTAGTACAAGTGCCTCTAGGATTTTCCGGGTGTAAATTATGATGTATCTTTTTTGCCTGCATTTCAAGGAATACAGGTCAAGGGACTTCAACTGTTCCCAGTAATTTAGGTGCCTTATTGTAATTATACATGCAGTGAAAGTTCTATGTATAGTCTTAAGGTCTGCAATTTCACCTGCCTTGAAAAGGGCCCTTAGTGTACAGCAATATTCCAGCCCAGAGAGGACAAGCGATTTGAAGAGAATACAACAATCATTGGCTTGGCATATCATATTGTGAAGGTTCTCATTATCCATCCTATCATTTTTCTAGCAGATGTTATAATGACATTGTTGTGATCCTTGAAGGTGAGATCCTCTGACATTATCACTCCAGGTCCTTCACATTAGTTTTCTGCCTGGGCATAAGCCTATGAAAGACAGGCTTACTCTCACGAAATCATAACAACACTATTGCAGACAATCCATGGTACAGGTACAGGCTTGAACTCATGGTGATTTGAGTGGTAGAACTTCAGGCCAGTGCGTTAACCACTAGGCCGGCTGGCTACAATAAAATTCATCTGACTAGGTATATTTCTGTTCCATAGGGAGGTTAACATGGGCCACCACCATGACCACATATGACTTGTGCGCTCACTCTCCATGAGTTTGAGCACCACCTGTACTGTGCTTTGTTTGCAATTGTGTTATTACAATTTTGTGAGTTGTGATGTCAGCTTTGAGGGGACTTGAGTTAGAATTCATCATGGCCATGCAGGTGGTGATTCATCTGTAAAAACTTGTATTTGTGGTCACAGTGGTGGCCCATGTTAACCTCCCTATGGTGTATAAATATACCTAGATGGATGTGAAAGCCAGCTGGCTCAGTGGCTTTCACACTGGCCTGGAGTTTAATGACTTGCTTACAGTGAGTTTGAACCCTACCTGTACTGTAGTTTGCAGGCTTACTTTGCTGCTGGGTGTCAGTGCCTCTGGAGATTTCAAATTGAAGACTATGCTTGTTTACCATTCGGAAAACTCCAGCATGTTCAAACAGTAATAAAGGATCCAAGAGCAAGTTGGTTGTGTTTTGATGTCTTAGAGCAAATTATCATAAAAGCATCTATTTTGGGGTTCAAGTTAAAATAGTTCTGAGGTATGATACTTCTGGGACAAATTAATATCATAACTCAAGGATCCATGCTATTTCTGCCACTTTGGGGTTTATTTCAAGCCAATTCTGATCTGACATCACCAAAATCATAGATCATGTCCCTTGATCAATCAATTGGCATCAAGAAACAGCTAATAAAATCATGAAAACCACCATAGAAAATGTCTTAAAATTGCTGTTTTTAACTAAAATATAAAGTCTGAGGTCAGGTGCTTGCATTGTGCATTGGGTGGAGCAGTATTTTGTTAATACTGTGCACATCCTGTAGAGAACCATTCTCTCATGCCCAGGTCAAAATTGACCTCTGACAGTAAATTTGAAGGCACTATGATTAAAATGAATATATATGCAAGTGACACTGGTCTTGGTCACATAGTTCAACATGGGTGGTACCTGAAGCCATGACCAGCAAGTTCTAACACTGGCAGTGCAGTGTGATAACCACTTCTCCATGTGAGGTTTATCACTGGCTTGCCATGACTTCAAGACCTCACTCATTCTCTGATCTCTCTGTATAATAATTGTGAGTCACAAAGGATCAGCAGTGTTCTTATTTAACAACCACTGGGATAATCTACTGCTACTACAGCAATAGCCTGAAACCTAACCTGCTGTATAAGTGGGGCCCCTCTTGTACAGCAATAGCCTGGAACCTAACCTGCTGAATAAGTGGGGCCCTCATGTACAGCAGTAGCCCAGAACCTAACCTGCTGTATAAGTGGGGCCCTCCTGTACTGCAGTAGCCAGGAATCTAACCTGCTCTGTAAGTGGGGCCCTCCTGTACTGCAGTAGCCCAGAGCCTAACTTGCTGTATAAGTGGGGCCCTCCTGTACTGCAATAGCCCAGACCCTAACCTGCTGTATAAGCAGGGCCCTCCTGTACAGCAGTAGCCCGAAATCTAACCTGCTGTATAAGCAGGGCCTTCCTGTAATAAAATATTGTTAGGCAGAAAAGAAAGACACTAGTATGGACTGCATTTCAGGCAAACTAATACTAGTGCTTACAGACTACTTAAGAACTAGACATGAGTTTTTAAATATGAATTTTTAAATGTATAAATGTCCCAGGTGCTGTATGGTCCCTGTGGGTTTAACTCTTCATTATGAATCTAATAATTGATGTGCTTGACTTGTGTGCTAGGTGGAGCGACTTATGGTTGAATGAAGGGTTTGCCAGCTTCATGGAGAACATCGGTGCAGAGGTGGCTGAGCCGGGGTGGGCCATGCAGGAACAATTTCTGGTGGAGAAGATGCACCCAGCGCTAGAGCTCGACGCACTGCTTGCCTCGCATCCCATATCAACGCCGGTCAATGACCCAGCGCAGATTGAGTCAATATTTGACACAATTTCTTATAAAAAGGTTCAGACTAATTGTTTTTGTTCTTGGTAGTTATAGAGTATATCATTAATTGAACTTTAGTGGAAACTATAAGTGGTACTATTAGGTGTTACATTATTGACAAGAGTGCCAGGCTAGTTGATGAAGAGGTGCATACATCTAAGATAGAAGACAGAATGGATAGGGTGTCATTCCAGGGATTGTTGGAGGGAGGGGGTGAAGGAGGCTTTGTGTGTGAATAGCTTGGACATCCAACAGACTTGTAAGTGTGTGTTAGAGAGGAGTGAGTGGAGGCAAATGGCATTTATGAATTGAAGTGCTGTTAGAGTGCAAGTAAGGTAACATTTTTGAAGGGATTCAGGGAAACCGGTTAGCCAGACTTAAGTCCTGGAGGTGGGAAGTACAGTACCTGCACTCTTAAGTATGGGTGTAGGTGGAAAGTACAATGCCTGCACTCCGAAGGATGGGTGGAGGATGTCATTGTTCAGTGTCATTTGAATTGATATCAACAGACTTAAGGTATGACAGTGATTAACTGAATGATGGTGAATGTGTTCCTTCTTTTGCAAGCCCCTTTCCCCCTACCTCACCAGGAGACAACCACTCTCTTAAAACCTCCTCCTGGTGCTTCTGTATTACCAGCAACTCTCATGTACTGCATTGTGTGTGCCGTCCTGCAGGGTGCATCGATCATAAGCATGCTGGAGTCGTTCATTGGTCGTGCCATCCTTCAAGAGGGCCTGCGACTCTATCTCGACCTCCACAGCTATGGTACCGCTACCACTAATGACCTCTGGGAGGCACTGACTCAGGTCACCAGGAAGCATGGCAACCACCTTGATATTAAGGTAGGTTATTATCTTACGATCAATAAAACCCTTTAATAGTAATAATACTTATTATAATAATAATATACTATGCAGACAGATTGATGACTAAGACACATGTGAGACCCTTGGGTATCTTTTATTGTGAATACGTTTCATCTATCAAGAGTGAGGGACTGACCACCTTTTGTCAAGATTGAGGGACTGACCACCTTTTGTCAAGATTGAGGGACTGACCACCTTTTGTCAAGATTGAGGGACTGACTACTTTCTATTATAGACTGGGGGATTGACCACCTGCTGTCAAGACTGAGGGACTGACCACCTTCTATCAGTGTACAGTGGGTCTATACCATTGAGAGACTGACTGCCTTCTATCAAGACTGAGGGACTGACTGCCTTCTATCAAGGCTAAGGGACTGAATACTTGCTATCAAGACTGAGGGATTGACTGCCTGCTGTCACGACTGAGGGACTGACCACCTGCTATCAATGTAGACAGTGGGTCTACACCATTGTAACACCATGAGTCCTGAATAATGTGTGTAAGATTTATAATGTATTCATAAGTAACAAAGAAAATTTTACTGGTAGAATTACTCACTTTTGAGAAAACTCTCTCAATCTCTTCTCAGTGTAAAACACCAGTTTTTCACCAGTTCTACTCCTCTTAAGCTTATTATGATTATAATATAATAATTAATAATAATAGTATAGACAGTGGGGTAAAAGATGTATGGTGTAAGTTTAAGAATATAGTGTTAAAGTGTTCAGCAGAAGTTTGTTGTTACAGGAAAGTGGATGCGAGAGGGAAGAAGAGCGATTTGTGGAATTATGATGTAAAGAGAGTAGTAAGAGAGAAAAAGTTAGCATATGAGAGTTTTTTACAGAGTAGAAGTGATGCAAGGAGGGAGAAGTATATGGAGAGAAAAAGAGAAGTTAAGAGAGTGGTGAAGCAATGTAAAAAGAGAGCAAATGAGAGAGTGGATGAGATGTTATCAACAAATTTTGTAGAAAATAAGAAAAAGTTTTGGAGTGAGATTAATAAATTTGGAAATCCTAGTTAATGAATGGATTTGATAGTTAAAAATAGGAGAGGAGAGTTAGTAAATGGAGAATTAGAGGTATTGAGAAGATGGAGGGAATATTTTGAGGAATTGTTAAATGTTCATGAAGATGGGGAAGCTGCGATTTTGTGTATAGGGCAAGGAGGGATAACATCTTGTAGGAGTGAGGAAGAACCAGTTGTGAGTGGGGGGGAAGTGCATGAGGCATTGGGTAGAATGAAAGGGGGGTAAGGCAGCTGGAATGGATGGGATAAAGATAGAAATGTTCAAAACAGGTGGGGATATAGTTTTGAAGTGGTTAGTGCTTCTATTTAACCCTTTGACTGTCGCAGCCCCAAATCCTGAGGTGGCTCCTGGTGTTGCAAAATACTTGAAAAAAAAAAATTCTTATGAAATGATAGAGAATCTTTTCCCAATGGTCATGACACCAAAAGTATGAAATTTGATGGAAAACTTGTGGAAATACACTCGCGAAGTTAGCGACCTCAGCGATATTTATGAATTGGCGATTTTGCCCACTTTGAGCCCTATTTTTGGCTAATTCCATTGTTTCAGCCGACCAAACTCATAGCTATTTCTTTAGAACTCCATTTGTTCTATCGATTGAGTACAAGAAACTGCCCATTTACTGATGTCAGCTACCCATAAAGTGGTCAGAAATTGGCAGTTTGGCCAGTTTCACACAAATTAAAAAATATGCCAATCAAAAT